ATATACAAGTTAGTCAAAATTGTGTGAGTAAAATGGGAAAATCTAGGGTGACACTTTATAGTTAGGCACTCAATACTTTTTGAGCAGTACTGATAAACAACATGGGACTTGCCACACCAGGAAACATTGACATATGTGGCAACATCCCCTCCGGTCTTTTTTCCTTCAGTTCCACGTTCCCGCCGGTAAACTTGAAAACCGTCTATTGACACTAGAGAGTCATCTACGTCTTTATTCAACCAGGATTCTTGAACACAGACTGCACACGTGTTCGTATGAATTCTTGATCGGAGGACACTAGTTAAGTTCGACTTTTGGGAAACCGGGACCGAGAGTTGCTGGTGACCAATGAGGGGACGTCATCTTTGACAGAGGGGTGCAATTAAGGGCAACTTGCCATCCTGCACGCTTGCGTTTTTCGGTCCAGCCTGGACAGTGAGAAAATAGAGTCGCACAAACCGCTGAACCATCAAAGCATGTCCTGGCACGGTTGAAACAAATAATATCATCCCGCGTGTAACGACGGCGCATGATAGTGAGTGAAAAGGTGAAAATTCCCACTATGTGACGGAAAGCGTGCAAGTGTAGCGCAGCCAATCAAAGGGCGCGCCTGCTGAACCAGATGCTAAGTGAACCAGTGCCTAAACTTGACGGTGGTTTATGTATTACTATCACTAATGACCAATAGTCAAAGTTTTACTATGGGAATCAGTTACGAGCTCATGCTTCTCTTGTTCCTATAGGATATTTACACAATTGAATCGTTTTACAGCGAAAGAAACTCACTTTCAGTTCCAGGTATAGATAGATAGATAGATAATAGAGCATGTAGGCTTCAATGAATTTACGTTTGATTTTAGTGGTGTCAACCTCATCCGAAAACGTGCCCGATCAGATATTGTTTTAACTTCTTTTGATTCGTGTTTAACGTTAAGTGTGTAACTAATAAACTTTTTGTTGTTTGGTTATTGCATGCATTGATTTTACCTCGCGATAAATGATGTTATACATTGGTCTTATGCTGAATCACATGAATTCTTTCATGTCTTGCATCACAGCCGACTGTGCAAAGGACGTGTGCTCTCGAAATCCTTGTTTGAACAATGGAACATGTCGTGCTTCGTCTGGTTCCACGTACGAATGCATGTGCCCGTTAGGAGTGGTCGGGGTCCGATGCAATACACGTAAGCGCCTATCCTCTCTCTGATCGCATACTGGCAGAAAGAGGTTGTACGGACTGACATCAATTCCGATTCTCATCAGCGACTGGTTAAGACTGCTGTTTATCACCCGAAAAGCGACGGAATATTGCAAACTGCTTGAATTGTGATGACTTGGTTCCTTATTTTATTTTTCAGAATTGTATTCTGATAGATTCCATGCTTCTGAACCTCGGTTATACCGACGCGGATAAGCGCGACAGTTTGAAGATGATTTGTAAACCTTTTCACATCTGGGGATTCTGTTATGATATTTCATCATGACTGAGTAAGAAAACTATCCTTGTTTTAAACCATAGTGATAGTGATTTTCAAAGTGTCCATGTGTTTTTAATTTTACTTTTTGAGTGCTATAGCTAGTTTTGAATAGTGAAAAGTTCAGTAACCTCGGTGGGATTCAAAACCAAATACGGACATCACCTGTCCTAGTATCATTGGATCGATACACTGGATTTCACAGTCCTTTCTTACTAGGTTCTCGTGCTTTATTTGTTTAGTTCACTCCTGTGAAGTTCCATATAATGTTTCACACTTGGTTAAGGCATTATACTGATCCCAGAAATTTCGTGACTGAGGTCCCAAAGATGACAAAATTTACTCATTACCGACGAGTACGGAGATGGTCGCCACAGCTGCCCAACATTCTTTGTCAGACATTACATAAATTAAAATTATGGTTTAGCACCAGACAATTGCAGTTAAAAGGTAAATTTTACACCTAAGAATACTGCGTTTGTATTTTTTAACTCAAAGTTCATTTTTGATACGACACCGTTAATTCGTTACTATAGGGTTGTTAGTCTGTATTTTTCATTCCATTGAATTGTGCTACTTGTGAGTAGCTGGAAATGGTTTCTATAAAAATCAGTTGCTTATGTTCTCGTAATTGCTGAACCGAAAGCCATCCGCACACATACGTCTCAGAACCCATGTTTATCGATGATTTGATTCAATCCTTTTTTGAAACCTCCGCCAGTTTCAAACCACTACTTAATATTCAGGATTGAAAATTCACCCACACGGATCAGGTGAATCCGTCCGTTCTTTTGCATATTTTCCAGATAATGGTGCCATGATGAAACACGTAACCCACTTTTTGTTTCGGAAACCAGTGAACTATTTTTACATAAATTCACTTGGTGGATAAATGAAAGCAATTTTAGGCAATAATCCTATGCGGAACATAATTTAATAGCACTGATTTCGAGCACTGCTCACGGTTTGATTGGAAGGGTATAAATTTCATTGACATTAGTAGTGCCATTGACTGTGATCACGGAAATTCGATAAGCCAACAGAAAATTTATCATCATCCGCTGAACGTAGACGCTAAGAAAGTTTAACCGTAATCCTTCTAAACATTTGTTTGTTTAACTTGTAAAACGGGTGAAAATATCCTCAGATTTTTCCGCGGATCGAGCCTCGTCCTTCATCAACCGTTCGGTTTATGGATTACCATAAAATCCTGTT